CAGACGAACATCGAGATAGCTTTGTGTTAACCGTAGAACCGTATCAGAATTTACTCTTTTTCTACAGTATTATGTTTGTAATATATAGTTGCATAACTTTATTCTTTAATGTTATATAAGAAGGTGCAGATTTGGGGGGAAATGTCCAGGGAGTCCAGACCTCCATCCATTTTTTATGTTTCAGATATTAAAAACTATTCTTGGATGTTTTACACTCAAGTGTGGTTTTAGTGGAGGGTTCTAGGGGGCAAAACCCCACACTTTTTTTACAAATTAATAACTATTATCTAATGTTATATAACCAGGTGTAGATTTGGGGGATATGTCAGAGGGGGTTCAAATCCTCCACCCCTTCTGCATATTTTTTCAGAAATAAATAACTGTACTATATAATGCTGTACAAGTGGAAACAGATCTAAGGTGGTCGAACACCTTCAATTTTTTTCAAATTTAATAAAAAAACAAACAATATTATCAAAGAGAAATGTCAGATGTTAGTGTTTTCATTTAATTGGTCTATTAATTACCATAAAAAAACAACCAATATTATCAATAAGAAATGTCAGATGTCAGTGTTTTCATTTAATTGGTCTATCAATTACCATAAAAAAACAACCAATATTATCAAAGAGAAATGTCAGATGTCAGTGTTTTCATTTAATTGGTCTATTAATTACCATAAATGCTTTTTTTTTTCAACTAAAAAGTTAACAAAGCTGGAATCTACAGCAATCCTGTTACAGCCTCAGCCAATAACTGATTACTTCTAAACACATACAACAACATGAACATCAATTAAATGTTGCAATAAAATTTTCATGCCATGGCTTTCTTCCAGACATTAATAATGTACGTTCTTTAGACTTTAGTTGTTTTCATCAAAGTTAACATTGGTTATGACACCTGTAATTCTTGTCACATATACTTGTTTGGAAGTTTTAACACTTTTCAGAAAGATGTTTTCATATTGTTGAAGCTCAAAATAAGAAGAAATACAAGAGCTATGTCTGTATAAATGATGACTTGACAAAGAATGGGAATCAGCATGCTGCTTACAAATATCAATTATTTTAATTATCAAGTTTGATATGTTTGCCTTTAACCATTTGTATTTTCATATAAATTACATTATTAGAAATAAAGATATAAACTTTCATATCATTGAATTATAACCAGAGTTATTCATAATGATTTTGTAAGCTTTCGTATTGATTTTGTTATTAAAGTTACTGGTAGTATGTAGTTATAAGTAAAAAAATATATTTATATATATAAACTTATCAGTAGTGCTAGTAGGTCTAGGTAGATCCGTTGTTTTGAGTAACAGTTTCTCAAAGTATGAATCTATAATAACATTTAACATAATATGAAATATTCATGAATCATTTGTTTGAAAATGTTTAACATAACTACTCCATCTAGCGATAGTTAACATTTCCCTATTTTATTTTATTTATGAACACCAGTCTTGTTCATCAAACATCATGTATTAATATTTGCATGTCTTTTGAAAAATAATTTTATTTCTAACAATGAAATATTCATTTAAGTTACACATAATGTAGACCTATAGCTGAAACTAGTTGTTTTTTTATATATTTTGTTGTTGATGTTTTCACTGTAATAAATTTTATCAACTTTATACGCAAATTTATTGTTTGAAAGTGTTATGAAGCAATACATTCATTATCATCAACAAAAATTCAGTAGTTTTGGTACACTAGCCTTGTGAAAATTTGCAGGGAGAAACTCATGGAATTCTATTAGTTGTATTATTTTCATGTTGTTACAGGTTTTGTACTACTACGCATGTGGAATACATTTACATGTACAACAGTTTAGGATGAACAAAATAACTAAAATTATTGTAACTGAAAATGGAATTGTTTCTAGCTTTTCATATATTTTTGTCACAAATTTTAGGACAATCTTAAAAGTTAATTCTAAGTATTTTCATATTTTAACTCAAAAATATTTTAAAATTGATATTGTATCTTCTTCTGACACTTACTTAGAGCGAGTCATGAAGAAAAAAGTTAATACTTTCATTTCTGCACAGCTACAGAGTTTTGTTTGTAAAAAACAATGTACTTGTTGATTTTGTTTTAAAATATTTCTGCCCCTCTCAAAGAATAACTATTTTTACAAAGAAACTATCACCCCTTGAGAATACATTATCCATTTCTTGATTTTCAAGTGTTTCTCTTAGTTTTTGTACAGGTTTTGGTTGAAACCTTGCTATGGTGACACATCAAGTCGTTTGATCATTTATTAATAAAACAAAGGTTTGGAAAGAGCTATAAAGAAAGTTTAAGTATGACTGGATAAAACAAGAATTATACTACCATGTAGTAATAGAGTAAACATATAGGTTCGAGAGTTTAGTTTTTGTAAATGTTCCTTTTGTTTTGAATTGTGAAAGTACTTATGTGTTAAATTATATGTTTGAAAACTACAAAAATAACTTGAGATAAGGTAGATAAGTTTACAGTTTAAGAGTCAGGTTGAATGAGTAACAAAGAAAACTTTATTACAAGTTTAACACAGTAACAAATGTACAATGTTTTGTCATCATCAGGTTTATGTCGTTTTTCTATTCATAGGAATATTATATACGTCTTATGAAGCAAAGAAGTCACATGACTGGAGATTGCTAAAGCTTAATAGAGGTATTTTGTTGATGTTCAATTCTGTGTATAAATAGTGTTTTTATTTTATACTATGAATAATAATAATACTATCTTAAATAATGTACGATATTTTTTGGAATACAAGACGCACCGGTGTATAAGACGCACCCTTATTTTGAAGACAAAGTTTTGGGGAAAAAAAGCTACAG